CGCTGGGACAGGTGCACACACCTGTAGACTGGGGGCATGGGTAATGGGTTAGCAAATCACGGGTGGCGGTCAAGATGAACGATAGCATGTGCCAGCCACCAGCTGGGTACCGTACGCGGTGCGCTGGTCGCTCCGCCTCCTTGTTAATCAGCCTAGGAATGCGTTGCAGCTATTGGAAAACTCTCTAATACTTCGTTCATGCTTCTTCACTTGGTTGCAATTTGGATGACAGAAGATTTCAAAATTTCAGTTAGATTGAAAACCAGTTTTCAGATCATTTTCTATTATAAAATTAGTTCGCAAGCTATTTCTAAGGTATTTCAATTTTTTGTTCCTAGTAGGCTTGATGATTTTTCGTTGCAGGTATGAGGAAATTGTTTCGAAAATACTTGGAAAAGTGTTTTTCTCTATTCACATTTGTTATCATATTGAATACGCTTTGTTGTGCACTCTAAAGTTTAGTTCAAAAGGAAGTCAGCTTATCTAGAAATGCTATTATTATTGCTGAAATGACCCACACCATTATCTTTTTTATCGGAAAAGTAAGCTTTAAAACCCTAATCATAGCTAAAAACAGATTTCATTGCGACGAGAATTCAAAACAAGCATTGGCGAATTTTGTCTCAAGCAAACTAACTCGTTTTGCAAATATGCGATCACATCACATGAATTTTCTCAGATTTCAGGAAAATCATACTGCGCTTAGAACTTTTCGAATCTGCTTTAAATATCAAAATTCTTTTATTTTTCCAAAAACCGCTATCCTCAAAATATAAATCGATCTGTAACTCAATCGAAATTGCGCGTGCTAGTCGTAAGATATGAGGTCACTCAGACAATGATGCCTGAGGTGTTCTAGATTGATTTCACACTTCAAAGTTGGATATCCAGGAGTGACTCGGTCATTCATGGTAAATCAGCAGATCTCTCGAATTTCACGACCAACACATCGGCTGTTCATTGATTGCCAAAAAAAAAAGAAACAAAAAATCAAAACAAGATTCTGTAAATAGTCAAGCTTCACCCCAGCTTGCAACAAGCTTATATCTCACTAACAAAAGTTAGTTCATCAAAACGGAAAGGTTCTAGAATAAAGATTGCTGGCTTAATAAGGTCCTCCAAGGAAAATAGCTGAACGTCTGAAGCATTGTGTTTTCAGTAATCTTCCTTTTTCAAGGGCTCATGATCTGGCCTGCCTTTTGGCTGACAGGCGAGGATCCAGGGGAAAAATCGTTGGTCGAAATGGCCCTTGAAGGACGTCGAACCGTGCTTCCAAACTGTTTTCCCAAGTTTTTATAGGAGTGCAGGCACTAAACATTATTTCATTGCTAGAAGTTGCGCACTACAACAATAAAGGTCGTTAACACCCATATACTCATCGAAAATGTAGACGATATGGAATTCCTCTTCTTAAAAGCAATTTTGTCACCTACAATCTTACCGAACATCTGCAACTACTCTGTAAGTATCTTGATGTTTCGTTGAGATTCTGCTCTATGAAAGCACCATGTGATAAGCTGATCCGGAACTATTGGCGCGGTTTTTTTTCTCCCTTTCTTCCCCAACTTGGAAACTCTTCTCTTTCTGCGTAGCATTTTGTGTGGGGATGGGACAATCACTAAAATTGATTTTCATAGAAAACTATGTATAATCCTCTCTAAGCAAGCAACGCATCGTGTTACCCTAATTTCACGAGTATAGGACGCACCTTTTTCGATTGTTCAAGCAAGCCGCTCAGCCGCCTCGCTGTATTTCGGAAAAAGAGAGTTATGCCGCACGATACTCTCAAGCAATATGCAACACTACATATAATTCTTTCCTTGCGAAGTCTTTCGGCGTGTATGACTGATCGAATTTGGAAAAAAATCCTCCGCCTCCTAAACTCGTGAAATTAGAGTACTACGAAACAACTGCTCTTGTTCTCAGCCCTTCTTCCTTGAAAGGATATCGCTACAGATATGGATACGACTATCGTCGATTCGTGGATCGCAGGACTGCTCAAACACTGCGGACCACGCGCTGCGCGGCTGAATTGTTGTGAGAGCACAACTTGTACAATGGCTAATTTGTACAGTCGATTTCACCCCTGATTAGGCGAAACATTCTACGTGGAGCAGCGCGTGCGCATCGCTGGAGGCTTCGCGAGCGCATGGCGCTGGCATTTTGCCAAGCAAAGACTAAGGAGAATGAAGAGACGCAGACTTGGGTTCACAGCGCGATATGAATACTGTAGCTGCGAAACGGCGCGAACCGAGGCGAGGCGGACGCCCGCCAATCCAATTTCCGCCTAAAGCGGGTCGAAACTTACTATACTGGCGCAAGCGTTTTACCTCACGGCGCGTGCTCCGCAGTGATGTCAGTTGCGGTCAACGAATGAACTACATATTAACGACTATTAACTAATCTCCTAACAGAACTAAGGGAGACTCACTTAGCAAAAATTTTAAAGAATCAGCCTCTCAATGATTGTCAGAGTGACTTATTAAGTGCACGCTCTGCCTGTATCTAATTCACACAAAATCTGAGCAGATATCTATAAATGGTACGATCGAAGAGGCCACTAATCACCCTTATTCTAGAAGTAAGAAGATACTTAGTATAACTGTTGACTAAGTGATTTCGTTTAAAAAAATCCAGGCACTCCAAGCTGGAGTAAACTTAATCGCAAGCATATTTTTCCTCTGTCAAAAATAATGACAGCGCTCAAACCATGATTTATCAAAACACATTACTGTTTTTGGCTTTCTCCCATTTCCAGATCCGTTCTCTGATTTGAACTTATCTCCTAGCACGTTGCTTTCATGGAGGTGAAAGTTGCGAGGCATGGCATGCACGTGAATGCAAGAATGGCTGATGCAAAAAAAAATCATTGGACGGGTGACCAATAATTCTACAATCAGTGTCAAACACATGCTCCCTTTTCCGTAACAACTAATCCGCAGCGTGAGCGCGCGGCAGAATCCGTTCGATGCGGCAAGTGAACGCTTACGCGGTACGCTTGTGACAGCGGTGCGCGCTTTAGCATTGTAATTGAGTTGATCGGAAAGGGAGCACATCAACGACATAGACTGTACCTGGTGCCTGCAATTTTCCTTTTGAAAACTGCACGTGCCTTCCAATTTAGATACCTTTGTGTGTTGAATGATTGTATAGTGACGTAATGAATCATCTAATGTAAAATTTTATGAATTTTTTTTCTTGTAAAACAAAGAGTAAAAATGATGATAATAAACAATAATACAGCGACAATGGCCAAGAGTGATTAGGTGATGCCCCTTCCCTTCCATTGAAGGGAATCAGTGAGAAGACATTTTCGTGGACTTCCATCTCCAAGAAAGCGGCAACCTAGAAAGAGTTGACATGAAAAAACTGGGAAAGAAGTAAGGAGTATACGATCCACATTCAACCTATGGTGATCACAAACCGATTTGAACTAGTAGACACTTAAAAACGAAATATTCTCTGATACTTGTTCATCGTATGGTTTTTCCCAACCGTCACGGTCCCGACGGGACTACGGAAAGATCAGGAATATACGAAGCTGACCGGGCATCTCCAACAGGCATGGAGCTCCACACAGCCAATCTCTATGGGACATGTCAGACCAGATTCAACCACCATAAAAGAGCCGTTAGGCGAGTGGCTCCGTTGTTCTGCCACGGCAAAAGACATCCACCCCACGGAGTGGTTAGGATTTCTTAAGCCTCATGTCCGTAAGCAAATCAAAAAAATTCAAAGATTCTCATACCTCTGATAGTAACCGGGGCTCCCGACACATAGCAATCTAGGTACGCGTCTTTTGAACGTCCAGTTCGAAACCTGCAAATAAGCTGATTACATCAAAGAAAAATCTCTTTTGAAAAGACTAATGTTCTTCGTATGGTTTTTCCCAACCGTCACGATCCCAACGGGACTACGGAAAGATCAGGAATATACGAAGCTGACCGGGCATCCCCAACAGGCATGGAGCGCCACACAGCCAATTCATATGGGACACGTCAGACCAGATTCAACCACTATAAAAGGCCGTCAGGCAAGCGGCTCCGTTGTTCTGCTTCGGCGAAGTTTCTCCAAACCACGAATGGTTCGGAGATTCTAAGCCTCATGTCCGGTAAAAAGAGAAATAAGCAGACGCTTACCTGGAAGATTACATTACCATTCCGCGGTCATCAGTTGTGGAGAGTTATGTAGATAGATGCATAATCCTCCTGAAAAAAATTCTGTTTGAGCCCTAGACCAGAGATATCCACCCCAACAAGTAAAATTATAATAACCTTCACTAACTATCCTTACCAAAAAGCAGAGAAGTTGAAGAGAAACACCATATACGACGAAGACATTCGTAAAACTGAATGGAAATCAGATAGTACGAAATTTAGGCCAGCAACAGCGCGCCATTTCGTTACCGTACTCTGCGATACCCTGAAATTCAGGCATTTGTGCGGAGATTTCAATTTGCGGGAAACGTGATTTTCGTGATTTTACAATTGCGTCTCTTTTTTTGTTGTTTGTGGTAAACTTTTCCGCTTTTTTCTTTTACTGCCTTGTGAGAAGTGGGATAGTATTGTTTCAAGGCTTGACGTTCAGTTCGGTGACTTTTTGTGTGTTCGCCATCTTCCATACCTTTCTGCGTGCTATCCTTTCAGTTGTTTTTCTATTACTAATCGCATGTCATCTTTCATCTTCCTTTATTATATTGCCATGGCCAAGAACATGGATTGTCACTTTTTTGTGCTACCTTACCTACCTTACCCAGCTCTCGAATATCTGTTTTGCTAGAAATCACTATAGCTCGTCAGTCATCAATCCATCTCAATAGTCAGCTTTGAGATTTTCGAGATTCAGTTATCATTCCTATCAGCAATCACTCCATACAGAATTCATACTTTACATGGAGCTTCCGTCTTTGAGGGCTAACTCTTCATTAGCCGTGTTAGAATTCTCTTTGGCAGTTCACCAAAAAAATCTGCTTTGTCGGGTTCTCTTGCCAACCAAATACTTTCTCCACCTAGAAAGGAACGCTCCCATATCTCACTATATTATAGACTTAGAGTCATGACAAGGTGTATGCAACGATTCCAATGATCTTCTTTGGGCACGGGTCTGGCCATCATGTTAAGTGGTCGATTTGCTCCAATCTGCAAGATTTTTCCGGTTTATCAAGCGTCCAACGCTCGTCTTCATTTGACTTCTGCCGTAAGTGATCGGTCACTTTTTGGTTGTTTCTGATTTCACCCTCATTGTAGATAAAGTCCATAGGACGATATGCTAAGCTACAAAAGAAGAAAGACCAGCTGTCGGCTTATCCTCCCGAATTTCGTGCAAAATTGAGCGAATGGCCGAGGTTATTGCAAGCTGAAATCGATGAAGGTGTTGCTCATGTTAGTCTTATTACGCATTTTAGCCACCTTCCTTTGATGGGATGTAAAATGATAATAGCCAGATACATCTTTTTATGCTTGTAAGGATGTTTATGGAATCACGTGCAATTCGAGTAGCAGAAAAATGACAATCTACTGCACACTGAAAACTGCTTGTGGTGTTTTCGATATAAAAAAAAGATTGGGGTGGAGGACTGTATGTCGCCGAAAAAGGGCGGTCCCCGCGGTCTGCCACAAATAGGCACCCTTGTACATGCGCGGACATGCGTTCCTGCAGGAAATCCGCGCGGGACACTTCCACATTCGGCGACATATAGTCCTCCACCTAAAAGATTGTCGACCTTGCCTCTCAAGCTCGTTGCATATGAAAATTTCCGAGAAACTCATATGACGAAAAATACGAAATCTTTTTCAATCTATAAATCAAAACTTTTCAGCTAAAAGAACTCAAAGAGCAGACGGATCTTCGTGAACTTGAGCACAGAGGGCTTTTGATAGCTAGCTTGCGATTGATCTCGGATGACCTTCATCCAATCACTGGTAGGACAGTGGTTTTGAAAAGGACTGCTCCTGGCAATACACTTGATCGCTCGAAGATCTTTCGCGCTGGTACGTTATTGATTGATCAATAATCATTTCAAGTCCAAGATGATATGAGTCTTGTAAAGTGCTTCAGGAGCTCCGCTAACCATACGTGATGCGAACTCCTTGAGAGAAATAGCGGAGTGCGTTATGCTGTCATCAACTAAGAAGGAAATAACGGTAAGTTTGTCGTAAAAGATCATTCTTAGCAATTGCTTTTGTGTTTAGGTCAAAATTCGACCATCGAGCAGTTCAAAATCTCTCACTGGAGACACTGATTATGTTATCACTCTATCGCAGTCCAGTGGAGCTTTGCATTCTGTGCAAGACTTTTTCTTGTAAGCCGTTAATCAGTGGTCTTTCTTGAACGCTCTTCCAGTCATGTTTGCAAACCCCTCTGCAGTTTCTGTTGTTTGAGATCGCAGTTTGAAAAGTTCTATGAAATTGCTGTCTGTTTCAGGGAGAACAAAGCAGTCGACACTCCAGGCGTTCAACTACTCGGATATGCCTTTCGTGCAAAGAACATGCCATCTATACATAACGGTAACTTATGCACATCCAAATCTTCTAAGATTATGAGCAGATCCTCTCTAGATCGCATGCTTTCCGATTTGCCTGAAGAGCTCAATGAAAGTCAAAGACGAGCTGTCAGTGCTGCTCTCAATAAGAAACGCCCTTTCGTGACCATACAAGGTCCCCCGGGGACAGGCAAGACTAGGGTAGTAGCGGAAATAGTGCGGCAGTTGTACATGAAGAAGCAGAAGGTTTCTTTGAATTTCTTTTTGGTTTTCGGTAACGCTGAACTTTATTCAGGCTCTGGTATGTGCACCTTCACATGTGGCTGTAGATAAAGTAATGTCAGAAGTACTGAAATGCTTTGCAGAACCCAAAGATCTCGAAGATTCAGATATCTCTGATGTGCAGAATGGTAGGCCCTGTCCTAGTACAATCGAAATATAACTGGTTCGAAATCATAAGACTGATTTTAGAAGTAGTTGCTAATGCTGAAACAATAGAAGAAGCTATCACTTCCAACGACAAGTACATGGAACTTTGTGACATATTCGATAAAATGGTAAGTCTTTTCTTTCCAGTTCTGCACAGATATGTTGTTATACTATCGGTTTGCCTTGACTTCCTCGCTCGCATCTGCTTTGCTCACTGAAATCAACATTTCCAACTCCTTCATTTTCGCAGTGCTTACATGTAGTATTACGACATAAGAGTTTTCGTTGCTGGTGGTTCTGAAAACCTTGTTTTTGCAAGCGAACACTGTACTAACTTTTCTTTATTGTTGCATTTTTGGCGTAACTTTGAATCGATACTTTGGTCCAATCTCTCTTGTCTTTACACTCCCGAAAGTCGATCCGAAGATTCCGCCGCAATGCAGTCCATTTTCTATTCTTATTTTTACGCGTTGGCTTAGAAAACCTAATTCTTGGAAAAGTTGCGCTCAAAGCAGCGCAAACATGAGAAGCATGCTTCTGGCAACTTTGGACAGAACGCTGGAGCTCAGGCCGTACCATGTGCAATACTTGCTAGACTTGGAAACTTTTGATCAATTCGCAACTTTTTCAAGGCCTAGGTTTTTCTAAGCCAGCGCGTAAAAATAGCACGGTGATCTTGCCTCATCGCAGATTCTGGCAGTTACGTCTTATACCTAGCCTTATACCTAACTTAACTTATAACTATAACTTAGTATAACTATATTAAATGATGGTCGATCGAGAGCGGCATTGCATTGTGTGTTCAGTGGATAACGGTCAGTGTAACAGTCTCTGAAGCAGATGCTCCCAAGTTCGAGTCCTCCTTGTGTTCCTCGCTTTGCATTTCTGCAAAAAGTTAATTGCGAACTTTGTCTCTACGCGACTTTATACTTTTTCAATCCTCTTACTTTCACCGCCTATCCCTTGTATACCTGCGGCTACTTTGCATAGTCAAGACTTTCGAAACGCCCGTGCAGCATTGCTTTTCAATGCGATTGGAGATTGTGATTATCCAGATTTCACGAAAGCAATCTTCGCTCGCTAGTCTCATTGTGAAAATTACCTTTGCTTTGCATATTTTGTCCACCCATTTCATGATGCTCGAGAAAATTTAACCTATTCTATTCCCACAACATGTTTGAGAGTTATATGGTGCTGAAATAAACACTCGCGAAGAATGAGACTGCATTAAGAGAGCAAAAGTTTGCATAAAGACGAAGTCGCTCCTGCACAAACTTATTGCAAGAATACAAGACGGAAACAATGGGGAACTCGAACCTGGGAACATCTGCTTCAGACGCCGCCACACTAACTATCACTAATGGCCACGCAATGTTGTGCCGCTTTCCATCGTATGTATGTGCAAATGCCGCTCCGAAAAACCCTCATAATTTCTCGCCTAGAAGCCCGCAGCAGATAACGAGGGAAGATTTGGAATGAGGGTCCCAAGTCTGTCAAGTCAGTAAACATCTCATCTTAAAAGGCCACTTCGATCAACCTTCCTTCCCTAGAAGTGGCAGAGAAAGATCGGACTTTGGCCGATAGGTTCCATATGGGGGCTCCTACCCTGTGACCTTGTTTTGTCACGGGTCTCATTCTGCCGATGTACTGCCTTTAAAGATCACATATGCAGTTCTTTCCCTCTCTTCCGCTACATCATTTTTCATCTACTTCTCATAAGCGGATTTTTTTTGCGCTGCAGCTTGTGAGGAGGTAGTTTCATTTACGACAGTATACGTGACAGTATTCACTCCATACGTGCTTGAAGTCACTGATAAATAACCTGTCGTATCTAGTTTACTTTCGGACTTTTGGTCCGCAACTACCTTCTCTTTCACAGCTTCTGCTTTTTTCATTCTGGGACCAGGAGACTCTAGTGGGCTTTGCGCACATTGTTTAATCAAAACGTGTAATCTGTTTCTCGGAAGAGTACTTCTTCTAACTAGAACAGAAGAAGTTCAGGCTTCTTTAGACAGTCTGAGCGAAGCGTGCTCAGGTATCCTAGTTTTAGGATAGGTAGTACGTCATCGCACTCTATAAATCTTCTTTTTTAATGAAAGGCTGCACCATCATATTCGTTTTTTTTTTCAAGTTGGAGATAATCCATCATAATAACTTCATTGCTTGAAAAATTTTTAATTCTTCCATTTCCTCGGATATCATCCAGGCTAGATTACAAGCATCACACCTTTGCTACCGATTCACATCGTTCAATCATGAATTTGTTTTAACTGTTTTTGTGCTTGGATGGCCGTTATAGTCCAGTTCCCTCGTTTTCCGTATCACAGTGAAAACCAATCTTGTTTCAATCAGAGGAAAAAAGAATTTGTTCTGACAGTTTTTTTTCCTGTTGATAGTGCAATGTAGTCCATTTGTCCAAACCATATTGTGAATCAAATCTTATACAATTCATCCTCAAAAAAGTCTTTGTATTTAGGTTTTCTGAATACAGACACAGCTTTCATTTTTATGAGAACAATTTTTAGAATGTAGCTAACTCTGATGAGCGAGCAAAACTGAAGAAAGAAGCGAGCCGACTAAAGTGGAAGATTTTGAAGGTGAATGCCCAAGACATTCCTGAGATTTGTTAAAAAAGTGATGTAAATAACAAATACAGGAAGCCTACAAAAAACGTCTTGTAATATTCTGTACTTTGACTTCGTCTGCTATTCAGCGGTTGGCGCAAGTGAATTGGCATCCTGATGTCATCATCATCGGTCGGTGCAGTTGTGTAGTGGTTTTCAATATCTGAAAATGCACTTTTTTCAGATGAAGCGGCGCAGGCTTCTGAGCCGGTTGCATGGGCGGCGATTGTACAGGCCAGACGGTGCGTCTTGGCTGGTGATCATGCTCAGCTTCCTTCAACGGTTGTATCCACCGAGTAAGTTTCAGAATGTTTGCGTCCCTCACAGGCACTGTTCATCGAATCCGAGATTGGTAAGACTTCGATACGGTACAGAACAGGGCCCCTAACTGAATAATTGCCTAAGCCCCGTAGCAAATATTCCGAAGTGAAAATTACTCTAAAATGAGGATGCTGTTGGGAACACCACGCTCATCTTCGGCATCTAGGTGTCTAGACTCTAGTTTGGCGCATTACTTTTAGACCACCCACGTTGGTGGGCGTGGCGACCTCAGCAGCATCCACTTCCTGGAGCAATCTTCTTGCTTCGGCACCTTTTGTAGTGGGATTGGGAAGATGCGCAGTTAGTGGATTCGCTATTACACTGTAGCGAAATCCCATTTATCTCAGATTTGGGTGGACAGTGCTTATGAATAATTTCATCGATATGTATATGGTCTACAGGGCGTATAAAGGTGGTCTTCACATCTCGCTTATGGAACGATTAGTCAAGGAGTTTGCGAACGCTAATATCAATCAGTTGCTCACTGTGCAATATAGGATGAATGGGAAGATTATGCAGTGGTCATCATATGAATTCTATGATTGCAGACTGATTGCAAGTGAGAATGTCGCAAAAATCACTTTGAGGTATCGTCAGTACTCTTCAAGATAAATTTCTTGGAAAAAATTAGGTGTTTTTCAGTGACATATCACTCCTGGACTCTAAAGCAGCCATGAATGATCCATTAATCATGATCAATACAGATCTCTGCAGGAACGGTTCAAAAGATATGTACAAAGAAGAACGCTCACAGATGTCATATAAAAATCGAGGTACATATTATTTCTACTTTACATATTCACATATATCTTTGCCTTCTCTGCTTACATGGCTGTCTTGAAATCTACCAATAAGGTTGGTTTGCTCTAGGAGAAGCTCAACTTGTCTTTCAATATCTGCAGATTTTGAAAAATCTTGGCATACCGCCCAAAGAAATAGCAGTAATTTCACCATATTATGCACAGGTACTGTAGACAAGTCGCTAAGGAGATCTCCGAACATACAATAGTTCAGGTAGCAGTTATACGTGAGATGATGGGATGTGATGTAGCTGTCAACACTGTAGACTCTTTTCAAGGACAAGAACGAGAGGTAGTCGTATTCACTATGGTACGACATAATGAAGAAAGTGAGCTGTTCGGATATTTACTTCGTTGAGCAGGTGATGGTAGTAGTTTCTCATACTCTTGCAGAATCTATTGGTTTTCTGCATAATGAGAAGCGCTTAAATGTGGCAATTACGAGAGCAAAAAGGCAATTTGTTTTGATTGGAAGTGCACGTATGATGGGCAGTAATCGGCATTTGCGCTCACTCTTCCGGTATGCGTTAAACTGAAATTCCTCTTTCGACCCAGTAATGTCTTAACGTTCCTAACTTCCTTATTATAGCACAATCCGAGAAGTGGGGAAAGTCTACGGACCCGGAGTGATGGAAGATTTTGGGAAAGGTAAGCGCTTTTGAGCAAAGATTTCGTTTTGTTCTTAAAGGAATTGTGCAATGCAGTTGAGAATGCTGTTCAATCCTTTTAGTTCGAATTCATATTCAACATAGGTTCAGATGTACTTTAGATATTGGCCCTGCTCCTTTTGGCAAACTCCGTCCACTTTCATGCCTCTCACAATAACCCCTTTTGTGCGTAAAAAGCATGGATGGCCGTAGAGGCCATAGATGAATGCAAGGATCTCAGGCAACTTTGAGCCAGGCCCGCCCACCGTCAGGCAAAGTCCGTTCCCTCATCAACAAGTTCTGCCCATTTTTCAAAAATGGCGGAGCTCGCATGAGTTCTTGAAATTAGGCGTTTTTGGCTGAGTGAGCGGAGCTTGCCGCAGGGGTGGAGCTTGTACATTTTATATTTCGTATGGATGCATGGCATACATGTAAGCAGGGGTAGACATGCACGGAAATGTCTCGTCCACGGGGTCACACCTTTGAAAATGGCTCGTTGTCAACGTGTTGAAAAAACCGGGTGGTGTCGATTTTTATTGCCAGATGAACCCCAAAAAGCACATAATAAATGTTTTATAACATTATAAAAGTATTGAAATTTCAGATGGAGATGTATTCAGGAGTTGTATGGGCTGCTCAACCTTGCTATTTTGAAATCAAGTCAAAAGAGCAATTTTGAAGGCCAAAAACTCATGAAAATGCAGCTAACAACAGATTTGTAAATATTTCGGCCCGTTTTCCAGCAAAAGCCGCCAAACTTGGCGAGTTAACCTCAGACAAACAGTAATCCAATGCACTTTATGTGGTACTTTTTGAAGACTCGCATAGCACTAAATTGGAGTTTTGAGTTGGTGACAGCCGGAGAGATCGCGCCTCTTGACCGTCTCCCGAAAAAACCTTGGGTTAGGTCAGTTTACGTTAACTGATCGCGAAGCCTCGGTTGACGCGAAGAATCGGTTGAATCAGAATTTTGATCAGTGCGATTCAACGTGTTCGTACAGGTTCAGCTGGTCTGAACATGTTTTGCGTTAATATAAATTGTCGCTTTCAGAGGTCGCAGCGTCAACCAGAAAGTCGTCCTCCGTTATTGAATGTCAGACATCCAAATAGCCATAGATCAGTCGTTTATATGTTGTTAAATTAGTTGAAATTAGGAAACGGTTGTGTGCGCATTGTTTTTCTATGGAAATCTCACATTACGGGTATTGTTCGGCATGAGCAATAAATTGTTATGCTTTCAAATTCATTTATGCGTGTTTCTTTTGTGCTGTCAATGAAATCGGACTGCTATCTATTCGTCCCTTTGAACGTTTCGTTTTGGTTGCGTCATTGCACGACCGGTTTTCATCCAAAACCTTGTTTGCAGGGCAGAACTTCGAAGTGTGTGAGATCGATAGCGTGACCGCGACGCGTCCGCACGTGTCCTGTGATTTCGCCATCGATTGCCAGTTCCTTCACTTCTCCACGTCGTCGCTAGTGTTGGTGTTGGTTTCATGTTTCAGTCTAAGTTTCTATGAACGTTTTTCATCTCATTTCGACGAAATATGTTCACAGCAGTGTTTGTACTCCATATATGTGTAGTTTGAATATGAGCTTCTCGAATACTGGGCTTTGGGGCGTAGCTTGAAATTTCGAGGTAATTTCGTTTTTGTCTGAACTCTCTGCGGGGGTAATCTTGCTGCTCATAGATAGATGGACTGATCTGGAGCGAAATGTTGGAAACTTAACTTCACAAAAGTCGCTGAACGAAATTGCGTTGCTTTCAAATGAGTTTATGTGTTTTTTACCAGGAAGAACTCATTTTCAGAGAGAAGTGCGTAAATTACAAGAAGTTGTGAGTTGAAGTAAAATAAGGCTTGCGATGTCGGTAATAATTCGTCTGCAATTGTTACCGTTGTCCGCCGCTGCCGCTGATGTGCGGGCATTCTTCTCCGGTCTTCGAATCCCGGACGGAGCCGTACACATAGTAGGAGGTGACGATGGCGATGCATTCATAGGATTCGCCACCGACGAAGATGCAAGACAAGCAATGCGACGAGATCGTGGACAGATTCATGGACAGGAGGTTCGTCTGACTTAGAGTTGATAATGGTGCATGCCATGCGTCCTATTCTTCTTTTTTTCGATTCTTAACGTTACAAATGATCTCATATTAAATCCCCAGATAACTCGATATGTTTATCCTACAGTCATACATCCTTCAAATACTTCACTTAATCAAAATAAAGCGAGTGAAGAAAACTGGCTGATCAATCAAACTATTCACTGACCAGGAAAGTACTATTTAGTGGTGCTCGAGATGGGAGATGTATTGCCCAGGCGTATACCTGATTTCAAATTTGGCATCTGTATCTGCGTAGCGCTTTCAAGAAACATTGATATCACAAGCACAAAGAGAAAAAAACGTTAGCCGCTGGAAGGACTCGATGCTGCGACTCTTCGCTCGATATTAACACACTCTCACTGCACTTTGATCAAAGTGCTGAGTGCTTATGCTGTCGGGGAACGTTCTGTTTTTGAATTTGAAGGAAGCTTCGCATTTGGGCATGACAGTTTGGAATCATCAACCGAACTTTGGCAATGCATATCTCATCTCATTGTCGCTTCGAATGAAAATATTTCTAGCATTAGCATAGGAATAAGAGTTATTTCTGGCGCTCTGAAGCAACGATAAGACCCATGCACTCAACGCATTGAGGGATTGTGAGGAAGGCACATTGATAATGAATTTTTTGAAGACATCATTTAGCAAAGTTCCACGTAAATTACATCTGTACTTCGGAAATAATCGAGATTATGCCGCAGTCATAAGGTCATGGTGTGAATTGTTTATCTTATCTGAATTCTCTTTAAACTGACTTTGACGCATTCGCCTTTGCTCTTATTTCCTAGACTATATCTGTCTCTAACTATATTAGAGATTCATACTACACTTCTTCCGTCAAAGTCTGCTCCACCAACAGTGGGGGTTTCTTATGGGCAGCCGAAGTGCTCATGCTATCTCAACATGATTATTCCTTGATCGAAAGTTGCAACAATCATGTCATCAACCTTGTACCAATGAGTACAACAAAAGAGTTACACTTAGTTGAATATGAAATAAGTCATTGCTTATAAGGAAGGCTGCTATGAATGTTATAAACTATACTAACGCTCTATTCGAGATCATTTTTCGATCGCAAAAGCTCCAAAGTTATATCATTACAGAACTCTATCGGAGTAACAGAAAACGCTGTGGCGAAAGTATGCTTTTCAACAAGATTTTGTGATTGCAGGAAGCTTTTTACGTTAAAAAATTTCATTTCTTATTTTCATTCTCTCATCCACAGGTCATTTTCTACATCTCCCAGCCCAACGAACACATTTTGGCTCCTTATGTATAATTTAAAACAGAATGTAAAGGGATGTAAGAGTCAGAGTAAAGTAGCACTTTATAACAACTCTACATATCACCATAGTGAAATATGGACAGTTTCGTCAAATTTTGAATGCAAGTTGCTGCTTTGCATCAATTGCATTGACAGTGACATGCGAGCGCGCAGCACACACAAGTTCTATGACACACATGAATCACGAGGAGAAATTGTCGTAGTAAGTGACCAGTCTGAAATCTTTCATGTTTTTACTGGGAGGAAATCTTGGCTTGTTCAGTCAAGCATTACACCCCTCAGCTGCAAAACTTGAAATTGATTTTTAGATCATGCTTACATAGTAGTTGCCAGGGAAATTGTTGTCATGAAATCTAAGGCTGAACGACTTCCACATTGTTTTATCCTGAAAGCTTCAAAAAGGAAATCAATACATAGTGAGAACAGTTAGTAAGAGTTGTCATCTGTCATGCAGCTTGTAACACATGGGGAGGGCATCACGAAATGTTAATTTTTCTGAATAAAATGGCAGTTGGACATGTGGATAATATTCACAAAAAAAAGAAATAACGGATTCCGTTCCAGTCTTTCAAAGTGCAAGATCCTGATTGGTTCTTATCGTGGTAAGAGCAGTTAACGATGAAGTCAATGCTTACAGTCTAATTCACAGTTTCATCTTGTTGAATTATCGGGGACGCCCAGAAGTTTACGTACGACCTTGATCTTAGCTGTAAGACACTATGGTTGATCTGTGTTGATAAGCTTGAAAAACAAATACTTGCCTTTCTTTTGGTGTGGGCATTTTTGATCGAAATGAGACGTCAAATCTTCCGAGATTATGACAAGGCGCCTGCTTTTATAGCTATAATGTTATTGCCCTCTTACTAATTTTTAAGTGGCCCTCCATGTGCAGTGGAGAAAGCGAACGCAAAATCAGTCTCACAACGAGCGACATGAATAAAGTCGGTTCAACCGCCTATGCAGAATTATCTTGAGTTACGATCGCGGGCATCTATCTATCTAGTATACATCTACATTTTCCAGCTTGTATAGATTGGTTTTTTTTTGTCAATCTGCATGTTCAAAGAGCGTTTTTCTGCTAAACATAATAGGTGATTGAAGAAGTTTATGTCTGCCATGAATGTCAAGTGCAGTAATAACACTGAAAAAAAATTTGACCAATTCTTGGGTAAGCACATTGCATGCATGTAGGTTTAATGACTGTTGTAGTGCTCTTGCAATGACGACCCAATTTGCGCGAAGTCAATGTCGTGCATATGGATGTTGGACGCGCCAATATTTGTGACAACGCAGGAACACTATTATAGGCATGTGATCTTAGGGGTTATGTCTGTTGCGAAACAATATTTTCTTCTAAAATAGTAACTTTCTGGCTGATTTTCGATGGCGGCATGAAGCGGCGACGTTTACTGCAAATAAATCCCTTCTGCACTTTTGATCGGCATGGATCTACCTACTTTCGACATTTCTATACGGCTACAGTGCGACAGAAATTTTTGCACTTTTCTGATTACCTCGAACATATTTGTTATGTAAGTAGATATCAACACAGTACTGCTGCTAATTTTACTTGCTACGTGCTAGCATGTGAGGAAAAAATTGAATTCATGAGCGTACGCATCAGACATATTGTCTCAGTAATCTCATAAAAAGCGGAAAAACGATTGAATCTAGAATTTTTCATTGAATTGTCTAAACGTATCGGTCTAGTTTCAAAACAATAGAGTAAAGAAGGAAAAGCAGAATTCGAAATGAACAAAATGCAAAAATTGAAAACAAGTACCAGTAGGTCAAGAAATACACAACGGGTATCAATATTAAAAGATTTGCGGGGATAAAGTTTTAGCTGATGTGCGAGGATTAATTTCATTTCAGAACAAATGCTTTGTGCTGTAGTTATTCACACAGTACATCGGCTGAATAGCCTTCACTTTCATATGTAGTAATAGAAATGTGGTCAATTCAGTCTGCACCATATGGTGAATCTTCATCGTCTGGATATGCCCCCACTATTTTTCATCGCATCGCTTAAATTCTAGTTTGCAAGTTGATGAAAAGTCTTGTCATTGTCATTTTGCTGCTTATCAGACACAAAACTTTACAACTGCATCTGCAAATCTGCATGTAAGTGTTATGGGCCCCTCGAAGGCAGTGGTTGGACAGATTGACCAAATTGGCGTAATCATCGTTCTTGATTTCTGGATGAGCTGAGTTTAAAACTGTGCTTTGCAGCTTTCGAGGGTTATCAACTCGCTTTCCTGGATGTGGAAGCTGCTGTTTGGGCGGGAAGCGGAAGTGGGCCATTTGTAGAACGAGTGGCTGCTGGACCCAAGAAAGTATCACTTTCGAGACATTTGGCACGTCTCCCACCCGGATTTCACGAGCCAATCGCTCTCTATAGGGCGGTCTTTCGCTTCCCGCCCGAACAGCACTTTTCACGTCCGAGAAAGTGTTTTCAATATCTTCGGAAGCTGCAGAACACAGTTTCAGACTCTCCTCATCCAAGAGAGTCAAGAACGATGAAACCCAAACTTTGTCTGCCTATCCACCGCCTTGGAAGACCATGGCATGGAAAACTTAACGACGCTTAGTTTATAGGGGACAAAAGAGCAGTATAAAAGTACTCAGTATGTCATGATGTAGTGTTTCATTTTCATTCATATCAATACTAAAGTGGGTTGGATTGTTTTTTTTTCTGAAAAAAAAAATGACTTTTCAGTCAATGGTGCAACATCTATTTCTTAATTGTTTTGTTGGCATTTGGATGGTATGCGCATCAGATCATTTCTGTTCACTTTTGAATTCCAGATTAGCAGCTCGTATGCACCTGCATACTGCTATTTCTTCAAAGTGTGCTTTTGTTACGTATGCCAATTGCCAGTCAAACGTTTTCGCGAAGAAAAATGTGTGCGGTTGTATTGCGCTATCAAAGAACAAATATCTGCATTCTTAAAGATTACTGAGCTACTCATATTTATAGTTTTTGGCACTTGCTTATGCATGCTTCCGTAATAATTGTCACAGCGAGGAATCGCATGAATGGCACTGAATTTTTTCTTATCATGAGCACTGACTACTGAAAGCTGAAAACTTGCTCTCGACGAACTGAAGCATCGAACACAATTCCACTAATAAATGCAAGTATAAGATAGATGTGAATTAGCGTAATGATTGCTAACTCCAAAACTGTTCAAATATGAAGCCAACGAAACAACCAACCAACGAAAGGGAAATATTAAAGGGCATTTACATGATCAAAGTATGACCCGCCTGCTATTTATATGTTATATCATCAGTATCTTCATGAATTTGGAGCGATGATGTTGGGCGTTTTTTGAGCCGCTATGTCTTCTGCCCATCCACTCATCGTCTACGATTATACTTGTCCAGTTCCTTGTCTTCTGTATTCTAGAACATCCGTAATATCTATATCTGAGTCGAAAATTTCACTTTCGGACCGGCAAAATAGTGTCCATCATTGAGAGTGTTTGGTCCTCGGGATGAAACACTTGGTCGTTCATTTATATAAGGGAGGTGAGAAGAAATGCCAGAAATTTGTAAGCGCGTACTATTGCACGATTGTCCACAAGAGAGGTCAATCAACCAGGGCCGTACATGAGTCGACCATTGAAAACTCGTTCACTGTCATAGTATTGTGTGCGGTCTGGCAGGAGCT